CAAGATACAATAAGCTGCGAATGTGTTGGTTTGACATTTCTTAATAACATCACTAAATAAAGGATCTTGTAACCAAGCATCTTGAAATTGACACTTCTTATTTGTCATTGTTGTGGAACAAGTTCTAAATAAAATCAAAATACAAATAGAAATAAATAATTAATAAATAATAAATTTAAATCGGAAAAAAATAAATTTAATATGTGCGTAAAAGATAAAAGCAAAATTTAAACCAATAGAAATTATTAAACGCAAGATGCAACATTCTTGCTTAAAAAGTTCGATAAAGTTACATCTAAGAAAACAAAAATTTATAATTAATATTTATCAGAACAAATATATTATTTATCCATGGCTATTAGAAATAATTAAATATTTATCTAAATGTATATGTTTTTTCAATTAAAACGATTTTATACGAGAAATTGTTTGACATATTAGGTAAGATTATATTTATAAATCAAAAATCATGATTCGATTACATTGATTTTTAATATAATTCTATTGAATATCTTAAACAAGGATATCCCACATTCATATATTTAACATGAGTTTATTAAAAAAATTAAAACATTTAATACAAAAGCTAACTCAGATCGACTTTGCGCAACGACAAATAAACCTATAATATTTGTTAATATCTGTAAAAGGATGAACAAAATCATTTATCGATATAATAAAAAAATTATTAAAAATATTTTTTATCTTTTAAAAATAATTTCTACTTACCTTTGATAACACGAAAATATAGATTACGAGCGATTAATGCTGACACTCAACTTTGCTTTCTTGCAATATCTTAGCCGGCACTGACACATTTATATACGTACGTAGACTTGTCGACGAAGTTGACAATCGAACAAGTTGACAATCTAAACAATATACGTATAAGGCGGCCAAGTAGGGAGAACGTGGCGCGCTACTCATAATCAGTACTGTAAGTACGCACGCTCAGACCCAGCACTATAGAATATATATTTGAAAAAGTCAATATGTCAGAGCCTAAGCCTGGTATGCATTGCTAGCATATTAGATTATAAATGTTAGATATATTTAAAAAATTGAAATATTCGTTAGAATAAAAGTATAATTTAAAATAAGTTCAAAATTCCAGGTTCTTTTACATATTTCCTGACTTTTCCAGGTTTTCCCTGACTAATTTCAAATTCCATGACTTTTCCCGGTTTTCCCGGTTTTCCAGGTCTGTGGCAACCCTGTTGACATTCGAGCAACATGTTACGTGCTTTAATTCGAGTTCTAATACATCATTGATGTCGGAATACGTCGACATTAGAGCCGTAAAAAATTCCGAAACATCTTGTTGTGTTCGTTCTTCGAAGCGTTTTCCGACAGATCTTCTAACCGCTTGAATGTTGCAATATTTACGTTCACCATACGCGCAGATGGCATCAGTCAATGCATTTGATGCTTTATTTTTTAGTATTTGTTGCCTAATACGTACGCAATGAAACGCACATTGTAATATTACATTAGCGTAACACAAAACAGCATCGTTATTGCAAAGGCCACATATTTTCCACGTAACTATACTTTCTGGTTCCTCACAATCATAATTCTGCACATCATCAATGATATTGGGATAGCCCATCGACGATCGTACATTTTCACAACCTTTTTCTCGGACGGATTGATTTGTGGCAGTTCAGATTTGAATATAGATCTCAGTCGATTATATTCTACAATGGCTCTCGAGTTTGCTTTAACTGATGCTGGATTGAAATTTATCAAATGTAGGCCTTCCAATTTACTTACTCGTGACAAACCTACATAGGCTTGACCATCACTGAATACAGTCGTTCCTAAATCCATCATTGCATTGTTACATGTAATTCCTTGACTTTTGTGTATAGTTATTCCATAACTGAGAGACAATGGAAATTGTTTCCGATGTACTACTAATTTGTGGAATACTTCAAATTTAATATCTACTTTCGTTATTGCGATTTCTTTGTTATCCGAAATAACTATTTTGATGGAATCAATACGATTGCCGTCAGCAGAGCGATTAACTGCAACTACATTGCCTATCGTTCCATTGACAAGTCCCAAAGTTACGTCAATGTTTCGTCGAATCATCACTTTAGCGCCAATTTTAATCGCTATTACTCTTTCAATGCCAGCTGTTTCAGACACTTTATCATCTTTGTCTTCTAAAATTTTATGCACTTTTTTTTTCATTGCTGGAGCACAGTCGACATCATCTTCTGCTATCAGTAGAATTTCATCGCTGTCGATTTTATCGAGCATTGCTGTGTTCAAAATCTTGCACAAATAACACGTGGGCAATAAACAAATTGTATCAATCGGTAATTGATTCATATAAGTGCAAAGTTCATTCAATCTTTCGTCGCAACTACTTTCTTTAAAATTGATTTTTTTAGACTGAAGAACATTGATGTCAGAATTCGTTACTAAACCTATTCGTATTCTAGAAAGTATATCACGATATGTATTGTCGCATCTTTGTCGCATATTAATCAAAAGTTCGTCGTACTCGAACAATCTCCACAAATCACATCCACCCATGATACCTAAATACTTCTGAATCTCTGATCGAGACATTTTAACAAACGAAAATTGTCCTTTTACAGGAGGAAGCTGCAACAAGTCCCCAAACAGGAGAATGTGTTTTCTGCCAAAGAAACCATCATCTGTATCTGTCGTATCAAAGATTTCACATAATCGTAGATTGATAAACATAAGTGTCACATTTGAAATCATGGATACTTCATCGATTATAAATAATTCGACATTCTTTAATTTGTCTCTCAAAGTTTTCAAGACCATGTCTGACATTTTGGTGTAGATTCATGACTAACGAGTAGTTGAAACATTCTATGGATTGTCAAGCCATCGATATTGAATGCTGCGATACCTGTGGGAGCAGATATGGCAGTCGTTTTTTTCAAATTTATTCTGATCCAATGTTTAATCGTTTCAATTAGAAAACTTTTCCCTGTACCACCCTCGCCACTTACGTACAGTCGTAGAATCTGATTCTTATCTTGTAAAACTTGGCATACTCCATCAAAGACTCTTTTCTGGTCTTCGTTCAATTGCGACATCATTTGCGATAAATCAATCGGGTCGTCAATCTTACCAAAATCTTTCAGATCTTTCATTGCGTCGTCAGCTTCTATCGGATTACAATCCAGTTCATCGTCATCGTATTTGTCTCTGTCTGTTGTTTTCAGATAATTTTCGCGCTTCTTGATTAATTCAGCAATGTTCTCAAAAGCTTTCTGTATTTCTTCGAGCCTTTCGTGATATTTCATTACCTTCGTTAAAACAGACTCTGAATTCTTAAAGGCCGTCCCACATAACGTACATTATTCGATATTAACAAATTGGAACTCTGGAATTACGAGTAATTATTTTTCATTGTACAGACTAGGTTTAAATTTTTGAGGACCTTCTTTTGAACATGGCTTGACCTTTTCATTTTTATGATTTTTTGGAGATAGGGTGAGAGAGAACGAATGAGGGTAAGAGAAGACGAGATAGGCGAAAGAGGGTGAAAGAGGACGAAATTGGGTGAAAGAGGGCGAAAGAGGACGAAAGAGGACAAAAGAGGGGTGAAAGAGGACAAAAAAGGGTGAAAGAGGGTGAGAGAGAATAAAAGAGAGTGAGAGGACAAAGGAGAGTGAAAGAGGACGAAAGAGGGTGAGAAGTCGAAAGAAAGTGAGAGAGAATGAAAGAGAATGAGAGAGGACAAAGGAGAGTGAAAGAGGACAAAAGAGGGTGAGAGAGGGCGAAAGAGGGTGAGAAAGAATGAAAGAGGGTTAGAGAGGACGAAAGAGAGTGAAAGAGGACGAAAGAGGGTGAGAGGGAATGAAAGAGGGAGAGAAAATGAAAGAGGGTGAAAGAGGGTGAGAGAGGACAAAGAAGGGTGAGGTAGGACGAAAGAGGGTGAAAGAGGACGAAAGAGGGTGAGAGAGGGCGAAAGAGGGTGAAAGAGGACGAAAGAGAGTGAAAGAGGACGAAAGGGGGTGAGAGGGAATGAAAGAGGGAAAAAGAGGGTGAGAAAGAATGAAAGAGGGTGAGAGAGGACGAAAGAGACGAAAGATGGTGAAAGAGAACGAAAGAGGGTGAAAGAGGACGAAAGAGGACGAAAGAGGCGAAAGATGGTGAAACAGGACGAAAGAAGGTGAAAGAGGACGAAAGAGGGTGAAAGAGGGTGAAAGAGGACAACAGAGGGTGAGAGAGAACGAAAAACTGAAAAAATAGGACGAAAGAGGGTGAGTTAGGGCGAAAGAGGGGTGGGAGTGGGGGTGGTGGTGGGGGGACGGGATGTGGGAGGGAAAGGGGTGGGTTGAAGTTGAGGGAGGTGTGAGTGAAAGGTGAGAAGAGATTTATATATATATATAATCCTGATGACGTCAGCGGACGCGGACAGAGAAGAAGACGACGTTACTTCATTTTTCATGAAAAACGTCACTTTTTGACCGCTTGTATCTCCAGAACGGCTTGACCGATTTTATTCCTTCTTGGCTCAAATTACTCGTGGCGATGCCGCCTTTCAGGTTATATTACGTGCAATTCAAAATTTTTTATATTTTAATAGTTCTACACCCCCAAAAGATGGACTTTGATGGTGCAGGATAAGAGACTTGTAGTGTCTTTTTTAAGGTCTTTTAGGGTTTGAACATGGCCGGAGACACTACCGCGTCTCCTGATAAAGTCGGCACCCAATATCGGTTGTTGAACGTCAGCTACAATGAATCGCCAAACAAAATCTCTGCGTAGTGCAAGGTTGAGTTTTATTTTGAGCTCTCCGTAAGTGGGGATGATAGTGCCGTTGGCTGCGTAAATTGTAAACCTAGCACGGGTAGGTTGTTTGCCTTTCATGAGTTTTGGTAGAACTGAAACGTCTGCACCGGTATCCACTAAAAACTTCATCCTTTAGTATTGATCCATGACTGTGAGGCAGTTTGACGTCTCATTGATCTCCGTAGTCGCCCCCATGTACGGAGATTTTGTTAGTTTTTCTGCGGCTTAGCTCCTTGAGTCCACGTACAGGGATTCTGGCACTTCCTTGCGTTGGCACCAAATCTATTATGATAGTAACAGAACTCAGGCTTATTTGAGTGCGTATTTGCAGGTGTCAATGCTCTAGGTTGGTTTCCTCTTCCTTTGCTACGGGAGCGACGGAATCGTTTGTTGCGATCTAGTTGTTTCTGCATTTTTGAGACCTGTAATGTGAGTGCGTTAAGTGACTCTTCTAATGCAGACAGCGTACCTGAGATAGTCTGTGTGTTTAAACTCTTTGCAGGCACGATGTGGGTTGCTGTTACCATTCGTCTCATCGCGTCTAGTGCCTTATCAGCCATCTCTGCTAACCGCTGGAGATTTGATGTGTCGGAGATTGCAAGTATTGTTCGAGCGGCTTCTGGTAACTGCTCAAAGAGTAGAGAGCGGATGATGGCGTCTCCACACTGGTCTCCTGCGAGAGCTCGTAAACGATGTAGATAAGCCGTCGGTTTCTCATCACGCATCTCGTGGCCACGGAGTAGGCGTCGGAGGCGTGCTTCATTTCCTTCATCATAGGCGGACATAACGCGCCGCTTGATGCTTTCATATTTATTTTGAGCGGGTGGATTTATGACGAGATCGGACACGCTACGCAGAGCTTCGCCGGACAATTGTGTGGCAACGTATCTGAACTTTGTGGTATCAGACATTATGTTGTAGTTAGCAAAAACAAGATCTATCTGGGCAAACCATAGCCGTGGATCGGCTTGATAAAATGGCGGCAGTTCGATATGGCGGGAAGATACCGCTGAAACTCCGCCGTTGAGTTCGCGTCCTTGGGGTGTCTAGTTGCCACCGGGCTGATTTTGGGTTGTGCCAGCGCCCGGGGCGTCTGTTCCTCGTGTAGGCGATCCGTCTACAGGCATCCTTTCTTACGCGGAATCACGTCGGGGTCACCAATGTAGCGCTCGTGCACGTGTATATATATATATATATATATATATTTAGCAGAAGAGATTCCTGCTCATGCGTCTTGGATGCAGGTAGACATATAATAATTATTTGGAAACCACTGCTGAGGCGTCTCGAGTCGATAAGTATATTTTTGATATCCTTTTAAATGTATAAGAATACTTTATTACTTCTTTGGTAACAGACAGTATCACAGTATGTTAAAGGCAGACAAAAGAGAGAGTGTTCGGTGAGGAAGGACTTAGATTACTTAATATCTAGATAGGAATCATCTTTGGCTAGTGCGCATGTGCGCGGTATAAAGTTACTAGAGAGGTAGATTACTTAATATCTAGATAGGAATTATCTTTGGCTAGTGCGCATGTGCGCGGTATAAAGTTACTAGAAAGGTGCCATATCCGAATTGATGTTGGAGACCTCACGCGGTGACAACGCGAAACTCCGGTTTCAGTGTTGCCAACGCTGAGAAACCAATTCTTGGGTTTTATGTAGTGGTGCATGTCTGTACACGTACATATACCATTGCATTGCTCACGCGGACGCACCGTAGAGAGATAAGGACCGATAATCACGTGTTGTCCTTGTTTCTCTACAGTGCCGGTATACGCGAGATGCGGCCTGAAAATACTTTCTGGCCTTCTATAGCAGAAGGCAATAACATAGCAAGACTAATAAGCACCCACTTTTTGTAAATTGTATATATGCTTATGCACATATGTGTGTATATATATGCAAATAATATCAAAACTTACATATATGTATGTTTCCAAATTGTGCAGTGATACACAATAATAATAAAATAATAATTCAAAGAGTGAACTAATGTACAGAATGTAAAACACGGGCGCTTATTAGGCTTGGCAATTGATTGCTTTTTTTATTTTATATTTTTTCATCGACTTTACATATCGTCAGCGCAATAGAGACAAGGAGAGAACGACTATCAATTCTATATAGTCTGTTATTGTAGAACATGTCGTAAATTAATTATAGACTAATAAATATATATATTAATTACTTTTCAATATATTGGTATTAATAATATCTGCTATATAAATAAGTATAAAAAAAAGTAGGGTAAAGTGGGGTGTTGTGTGCCATGGGGTGTCGTGTGCCACTTAGTTTACCGCCATGTCGGATTAGTATGACGTCATCTACGTAATGTCAGCTTAGTTTCTAGACCTACTCTCACTTTTCATGAGCATCCGACGCTTGTGCACGCGTCCCACAAGTTTTACGAATTGTTCTCGTTTCGTTGTGCTCCGTAAAGTTTTCTAGACGATTCTTCTTCACGCAATTTTGCAGGCAAGTGAAGCGACAGGTAAGTCTTTAGATATTTAAAAGTATATATGGACTATTGCCTTCAAAATCGTTAAAGTGATTTTGTGCTAATGTAGCATGTGATGAGGTTATGGTGGCTATTTCGAAATGTAGCATATGGGGTGTTGTGTGCCACTCCATTTTCGACATTTTACCAACGCAGCATACATGTGTCATACATTTTAGACATTTTTAACGCATTCTCTGTATTTTTCATGAAAATGTAAAGTAATTGCAGTAATTTTTGAAGTGGAATTTTATTACTTTTTTTTAATTTTTGTTTCTTTTTCACAGGATTTTCATAGTCACTATGCCTCGCAATACTTACAAAAGTATGCCGAAGCCAGAGACCAATATTACTGAGTTTCTTGCTGCGATAAAAGAAATTGCAATTGAAAATAAATCTATCCGGACAGTGAGCAAATCATATAATATTTGTAGAATGAAATTGTCTCGGTGTATAGAAAAAATGACGGTGGCAAATTTGGATATAGAAACTGAGTCAGATGATAAATTAGTCGATTTTCTTACAAAGCAAAGTAGCAAAATTGGCGGCAAAACGGTAAGTTGTTTTATATCGCTTCGTTTGTTCAACATTTTGCAACTAATATTTTTTTTCCTAGATTTTCACCGCAGAACAAGAGCATGAGCTCATGAAATATCTCCTCAAGGCTATTAACCTTTATTACGGATTGAGCATCGCCGAATTGAAAATTTTCGCTTATCAATACGCGAAAAAGATAGGCATTGTTTATCCTTCGTCATGGAATGATAATGGCAGAGCATCACCCGACTGGTATTATGCATTTATGCATCGGCATAAAAAATTGTCTCTAAGAACACCAGAACAGATCAGTGCAAATCGTGCCAAGGCTTTTTCGAAAGAAAATGTGGATGCGTTCTTCACGCTCCTAGGCACTGTTTTCGATGAAACCCACTTTGAGCCACATCGAATATGGAACATGGACGAGACCGGCTGTCCAACTGTGCCAACCAAGACAACAAAAGTTATCGCAGAGAAAGGTGCAAGAAGAGTTGGGACCAAAATATCCGCCGAAAGAGGAACAACAATCACCATGGCTCTGGCCATAAATGCGACCGGACAGTCTATTCTACCGTTCTACATTTTTCCACGAAAAAACATACAAAGAGTGTTTATGGATAATGCTTTTCCAGGGTCCATAGGCGTTGCCACAGAATCTGGCTGGATGACAGCAGTCGAATTCGTAAAATATATGAAACATTTCATTAAACATACCAACGCCTCGAAAAAGTCACCGATTTTATTGGTTTGGATAATCACACATCGCACTTAAGTGTTGAGGTCATCGATATGGCAATCGATCATGGTATCACAATGATTTCTTTCCCACCCCACTGTTTACATCGCATGCAACCATTAGATGTCGGCGTTTTTGGCCCATTCAAAAAGATGTTTTATGCCCAGTGCACAGCTTGGATGAAAAATCATATCGGTCGTGTTTTGGAGTTGCATCACATTGCGCCCATTGCAGATAAATACCTCGATTTGACTGTAACGCCACGTAATATCAAAAAGGCGTTCGAAGCTACAGGTATTTTCCCATACGATCCTAATAAATTCACGGCCAAAGATTTCAGAGTATCTAAGTTAAGCGGCGAAAACCTATGCTCAGATAGTGATGATGATACTGCCCATAATGAGCGTGTCATTATAATTTCCGGTGACGTTATCAATACAGCTGCACATGAAAAAATAACAACATTATTTTCAAAAATTAACAGCACATCAGCAGGCTCATCTCGTGCATCAATACGCAGTGCATTGAAAGAGGTTGGTCCTTTAAAGTTTGATCCAGCACCCAAAAAATCTAAGCGTGGTAGAAAGCCGATGAAAAGGACCATATTAACTTCGCCCGAGAATGTGCAAATTGTCCACGACAAAGCTGATAAAAAGAGAAAAAGCCTCGAAAAAGAGAACCAAAATATCGACAATGGATCACCATCAAAGCGCACTCGTCGCACAAAAACCGTACCGGCAACAAAAACTTCTGGGATCATCAGATGAGGAGGACGTCGACTTCTGCATTATTTGTATGCGCAATATGCCTAAAAAACTGAACAGAAATAACGCAATTCATTGCAATAAATGCGATCGGGCTGTTCATCTAAAGTGTGCAAATATGAAAACAGGATATTTCACTTGTTCTCAATGCAAAGCGGCTGAAACTGATTAAACTTTTTTTCTATTATAATTATAAACGTATATTTTCATTTTTTCAAAGTTTAATAAAGAACATTTATTAAAAAATGCTATTTTCTACTATTTACAGTCGTGGCACACAACACCCCACAAATTTTCAAAATCCCAAATTTACACTTTTTTTTCAGAATTCGAAAATAATTTCAAAATTTGCGAAATTCAAAAAACTACTATTACAGGTTCTTCGGCAATAAGATAAGCTAAAAATAGAATGTTTAACATTACAACAATATGCATTTTTGAGAAAGTTATGGTCCAAAAACAAAACCCGGCACACAACACCCCACTTTACCTTACATAATGGCTGAGTGCAAAGGTGTTCAGTCTGTCACCTAGTGTGGCTGAAAGAGTTCTGTTGGTTGATGATCTGGATGCTAGAAATATAAAACGGAGATGTCACATTAATAATAGAAACGGAATTACACTAAATTATATACAGCAGAATAACGTAACAATTATGTATACTAATAAACCTACACACATACCAAAACAATGGTGGTACTCCCACCACAATAGACAGTTATAAATAAGCAAGTTAATAACCATACTGACATAAATGTACTTCATGAACTAGATTTGGATCACAATCCAATATATTTCACTCTTTTAAAACAAAACTTGACAGATATGAGACATAAAATATATGATTTTAAAAACACTGACTGGTCTAAATTTAGATCTATTTTAGACAAACATATAAATATTAATAATAAGATAAAAGATCATACAGAGTTAGATATCGAGGTAAACAAATTAATAGAAGTAATACAAAAAGCGCAACAACTAACGACAAAAATAATTACAAGAACAAATCACATTACAAACTTACCCGATACTATTCTAGATCAAATAAAATATAAAAACAAAATCAGGAAAATATGGCAAAAAACAAGATTAAAGAAAAATAAAATTTTACTAAATAAAATATCACGTAAAATCAGGGAGGAAATAGTAAAATATAGAAATGACATTTGGAACAATAAATTACAAAAATTAAGTGCAAAAAATAATTCTATCCAGCAAATGACTAAATCATTAAAAAAAAAACTTATGAACCCATAGTTACCTTAACCAATAACAATATAACAGCATTAACAGATGTTCAAAAAGCTAACATGTTAGCAGAACATTACGAACAGATACATACACATGTAACAAACAATGACAATGAACAAG